CAAAATGTTGGCATGATTGTAATCAGCATTGAGTTTCTACAAAAATTCTGAAATTTACGATCCAAGGATCAGTGGTTTTAGTATTAGGGCGGGGCTATATATACAGATGTATTATACTTGGTGTTTACGACCTGTGGCGAAAATCGATTTTTGAGCAAGTTAGGGTAGAGTTGAATTAGAGCTTTCTGAATGTGTTTTACATCAATAAATATACACAAGACATTCAGCAATGCACTTGATTTAGCGAAAGGTGCTAAATAGAATACATTACCACATGTAATACGTTTACAATAGATTATATAGCGAAAATGTTATAATTCTGTAAAATTTTCTTCAATGCTCCTGGGCATACTCACTACATACATAGTAATGGTGCGGATGGGTGTCTTTTTAACAATGGTGAATTTCATGGCCCCAAGGTCAGGGGTTCTGTTTTAGAATGGGGCTCTACTGATCATATAGTAAAAATGCATTAGTTCCTTGAAAATCTTCTCTGCTCCTGGGTATTAAACAGACTAACTACATACATGATAATGGTGAGGTAGGGTGCCTCTTCTTCAATGTGGATTTCATATCCCCAGGGTTAGGGGTTCTCATGTGAAGGGGGATGCTTTATTGCTACTGATTATATGGAGATAATACATTTATTCTTTGAAAATCGTTTTATCTGCTCCTGGGTATTTAATAAATTAATCAAGTACATAGTTATGGTGAATAAGGCTGCTTCTTCCAAAATTGTAAATTTCATGCCCCCAGGGTTAGGGCTTCTGGTGTTATGTTTGGGCTCTATTGATCATATAGTTAAAATACATTAATTCTTTGAAAATCTTCTTCTCTGCTCCTGGGTATTAAACAAACTAACTATATACATAGATATGGTAAAGAAGAGTGCCTCCTCGATAGTTATGAATTTTATGGCCACAAGATCATGGATCTGATGTATGGGCGGGGTTGTATAAATTATATAGTGAAAATACATTAATTCTTTGAAAATCTTCTCCTCTGCTCCTGGTTATTGAGCAGATGAACTACCTATTTATCTATAATTAGCAATGGTTCTTCCTGCAGAATTGTGAATTTTAAGGCACCTGGACCAGGGATACAGTAGGGTTCTTGCGTAAGACAGGGGCCCAAATTATATACTGAAAATGAATTAATGCTTTGAAATCGGTTCATGGTATTAAACATTAACGATGAGCGAGGATGCCTTTTTTCAAATATATATTTTTTTCAAATGTGCAATATGCTGGTACAGGGTAAGGGATCCTGTGGAGTGGGGCCACCATTAATCATTGCTGAATATTATTGTTTAGTTGAAATGCATTTTTGGTTTCCCTACTATGTCTATGGATATTAAGTAACCAAACGAAGCATGCTAAGTGTATAGTTATGAAAAGCAATGATGCCTCTATCAAAATTGTGAATTTCATGGCCTCTGATTTAAAACATGAACCAAATTCAATGATTAGAAAGTTGTTGCATTATGCTCTGATGACCTATAAGGCCCCTGGGCTTTTTATATCTTTACTTTATCTTATCTTTGCTACCTGAATGTATCTTTTAGGACATATGATAAGACAAGAATTATTTCAAGTCTTCGCTATGTACTGCTGAAAACGTCCATCATACTATCTAGAATAAGAAATTCTAAATGTCAAGCAGTAAATATTATAATTTTGAATCTCAAAACTTTCAAAAGCCAAACTGAACTTACAGTCATTACAGCATCAGTATTGCTATACATGACCAAAATGGAGACGACGTCCAATTAGGTACAACCAACTCACCTCTTGCTTTACATGCCAGCAAGTGCTCTATTACTTTTGAAATTAATCTAATTGGCGGAACAATATATCGAGATATTGTCAAGCTCCCAAATAATTTTAAAAACAGCAATTCCGGAAGAAATATTGTTCACAAATATTGAATGTTTTTTACCATATATTTGAAAACAAATTGCTAGTATAAAAGGTCCCCACTTTTTTTACTTAATTGAAAAATTTGAAACCAACACTCCATTCATCTGCATCATACATTTTCCTTGCTTATTATCCAACAAACTTCTAAAAATAGTCTAAACAACACACAATTCTTAATATATAAAATCAACAACATGTAGTTCTGATATCATTCTTCCAACATCATAATTTTCGATAAATTCTGAATGATTATCAAAAATGTGCATTTCAGTTGTCGAGATACCAGACAGATTTAGAGCTCCAAACCAGTGTTATGTAAACATTACATTAAAAAAAATTTAAATTGTTTTTGAATCAGACGAAACTTGTTCATGTCCCTTTAAAGCTTCTAAAACCCCTTGAATACTCAGTAATCTTTAGGTTCAACTCTCCTGTGTTTCTTCTTCTCACAACCTATTTCTGTACGATTATCCCACACAATATCCTGTTTTTGAACGATAACTTGCATCTATAAAAGGAAGTTTTTCTTGCAAATCATATTTTTAAAAAAAATCTTCAAATTTAATCACTTGCAATTTTTATTTCAAAAACTCAATTCTTCAATGGCTTCTTTGTTTTATTTCAAAATTTTCTGAAAAAAGAACTGAACATTTGCCATGTTATAAACATATACACAGAGCCAAATCAGAAAATGACACCTGTTTTCTTATCATTTGTGATAGATTTTTTGAAGATGTGAAAACTTATCAATTTATGACCTTTTAAACAATTTCTTTTGAATCATTGTAAATCACACTTTTGCATGTTTCACATAAAGCCAAGTCTCACCAAAGATTTTTATTTGTGAATTCAACCAAAGTGGTTTCATATAATGATTCATCTACACATTAGCAAATTTCGTAGTAAGAAAGGTTCTAGATCTTTACAGTGCATTGGATGTTGAAAAGATGTATCATCATTTAAATTACTTCATCATTAATGTAAATTTGTTTATATTCAAACAAATAAACCAGATGTCAGAAGTTGTTTTTTTTCTTCAAAAAGCCTGCAAAATCTCTTGATTAAACTACATATACGAGGGTTGTCCGTTAAGTTCGTGGACAAGCTAAGAATTAAATAAAAGTTGTGTCATTGATATTTATTATTAACATATTTAAAATCCTTTACTTAATATGAATTGAAAAATGTAGAAACTTGTTCAATTTCAAATGTTAAATTACAATTTTGGCTTCTTAATTAGTCTTGGAATGGAGACCCGGAGCACCGAAAAATTTGAATTAAAAAAATTATTTATCACTTTGTAGATTTCATTTGTATTTTATAAAATTTTGCGGAAATCTGGATGACTTTTACATTATAAGGTTGACAGAAGTTATCACCGCAAACCTGCAAAATTTGAACGATCAAAATTGTAAATTTGCTGAGCAATCAAATTAAAAACATATTAAGACGGTTCGGAATTGTTAAAAAAATGGACGTTTTCGGAATAGGTGGACAGCAGTTAGCAGTGATTAAATTCTGCGTAGACATCAGATAAACGCCAACAGAGAACAATACACTTTGTAAACAATCAGAAAACATAGTAAAAGAAGTCGTTCACTAGTATTTAAGCGGCATATAATATTTTCGGACGAAAGGAACAGTTAACAGGATGACATGCGCGAGGGAAAACCATCATTCCGAGATTTAAGTGGTAAAAAATGAATTTCGTAACGTGACTTTACCGTATTTCCGTTAATAAAATCGTCTTTACGCGGACAGAGGTTGGATGATTGCAGAATATGAGACAGGCATTATTAAATATTATTTTACGTATGAACCTGAACATTTTGTGCACATATTTATATCTAGTTAAAGCGACAAAAGAAATGTATTGAGTTAAACAGTGACTATGTCGAGTAAAGTTGCATGTACTAGTATCATTCTTTTGACGCCGGGTAATGTCAAGAATTTTCATTTTAGTGCTCCGGATATGAGTGAATGTTTTTTTTTAATCTGATAAAAATAAGCTATTTGTGCTTTGATTTTGTTGAAAACTTGCATGTTGATAAAATGAAACACGAATTTAATGAAAATAATAGTTTCATATACATGTATTTTATCAATGTCAATTCCTATATTTCCTTGCTATGAATTATCTGTGGTACAAAGTGGGGGGGGGGTACCTTCTTTTCAATGGACGTTTTCTATAGTTAAGGTCATGTTGGGAAAAAAGGGGGACAGGCCCACCCTGCCTCCCCCCTGTTGCGACGTGCCTGGTAATTATCAATGTTGTCCACAACCTTTACGGACAACCCTCGTATAATCATAAAGTTTAAATATGGCTTTGTTATTATTTTTTTTTAGAATTGCTTAATTAACCTAGACAATATTTCTTTGTTATATTTAAATGACATAGGATATTTCAAATCTGATATTTTATAAAGCAAAAAAAAAAAAAAAAAAAAACAAAAACAAACAAGCAAAACAAACAAACAAACAAACAAACAAAACAGATAGGTATTTACATATATTTACAAGGAGAACTACTTTTTCCAGACTAAAATTACATAAAACTGATAGTTCTCTTCTGAGAGAATTAACAACTTGACATACTAAATTATGTAACACAGTTGTTTATCATTTAACATTTTATACACAAAAATTGTGTATTTCAACCGTACATTACTGTATTCACTTGTGACGGCATCGTACTTTAGTACAACGCCACGTGAAATTTATGCGCAAGTAGATTAGGTGGTATTAAAAAAAACAAGATTAAATATGATAAATAAAATTTTCTTATTGAAGTGTTATGCATTCTACATGTATAACGTAAATGATATTTAATGTTGAAAAAAAACAAAACATGGGGATGTGTACTTTTCCATAATTCGTTAACAGATCTAGATATGATCTTTGAAATACAACGAAGATTTAATTTTTTTTTCTTCGAATAAGCCACAAAGCAAGTACCGGTAGCAATAATGTTTCAACACAGTAATGACAACTTTCAGTACCATGGTATGAAAACAATGTTGTATATAATTTGTTCTTTTTTTCAAATTGATGTTGTAAAATTTTTCTTTTTTTTTCTTCCAGAACCAAAAGAATGCTCCTGTGGTATCATTTTTTACATACACTGCGCTGGATAAACATGGAAACCTGTCTTACTTTAAAAATAATGGTGAACCAGCAATTGTTGGTAGCAGTGAAGAACTTGGAGACTTTCATATTTCTTTCAAAATATCAACCGATTCCCGAATAATAGTGCATGATTCTTTTGAAGGTCATGTATCTGGATTGGATGTTTTAGATGAGACCCTTTCAAAACATTTTGTACCTAAACCTTTAGTTGAAAATAAGGTATACAATGCACTTAAAGGGACTAATGAGACGGATCGTGGTATAAATTTTGTGGTTCACCAAATAACAGCCGAATTACCACTTAAGTTTGATATTATTTTTAAATCAAATAGTTTTCGTTCAGAAAATATTCTTCAAGGTGATAAACTAACTCGAGAGATAGAAAAACGTTCTGGAGAATTTGACAAAAAGTTTTCTTCTGTTTTTGATTTGGAATCAAAAAGATACACGCTAAAAGCCATCAACTTTGCGAAAGCAACATTGAGTAATATGCTAGGGAGCATTAGCTACTTCCATGGTTCATCTCAAGTACAATCTGAAAAGAGCGAAGTTTTGAAGCATAGGCAAGCTACACTATATACGTCTATACCATCTAGATCAAAATTCCCAAGAGGATTTCTTTGGAATGTAGGGTTTGATCTTCATTTAATAACTCTTTGGGATGCAAAAATATCAAAAGATATCATTGCACATTGGTTAAACTTGATAAATGAAGAAGGATGGATACCCAGAGAACAGATACTTGGAGAGGAAGCAGAAGCTAAAGTTCCATCTGAATTTATTGTGCAAAGAAACAACATTGCAAACCCACCTTCTCTTTTTCTAGCCATTCAACATCTTATTAAAAACAAACAAAATGTCAAGGTTTTCTTGGAGATTTTTTTTCCAAAAATGGAAAAATGGTTCGAATGGTTACAAGTAAGTCAAGCTGGAAAAATACCTACTTCCTTTTATTGGAGGGGAAGAAAAGGCTTCGCGGAAATGGAATTGATTCCATACACCTTTGCTTCTGGGTTAGATGATTACCCCCGTGCGTCCCATCCTGACGAAAATGAGCGTCACCTTGACCTTCGTTGTTGGATGGCGATGGCTTCGGGAGTATTAGCGAACATTGCGAAAAGGATTGGAGAGGACTCAAGCGCATACGAGGAAATTTATAAAGATCTTACTGATAACAAATTGTTAGACAGATTACATTGGGACTCTAAACAAAAAATTTTCAGTGATTATGGATTGCATGCTGATGACATCGACATATACAGTGATGATGGAGTGCTTATTGATAACATAGACATGTTCAGTCCCACCAGTAAGAGCCGTTATGTTCATGCACATCCAACATTTAGACATACTGGGATATTTGGATACGTTAGCTTATATCCTTTGATGCTAAAAATTCTGGATTCGGATTCTCCTCGATTGGAAAAAATGCTGTCAGACCTGAGAAAAGAAGACTTGTTATGGACAAAATATGGGATAAGGTCTTTATCTAAGAAGTCAACATTTTACAACATGTCAAATACAGTTACCGACCCTCCGCTCTGGAGAGGAGCAATATGGATAAATATGAACTACCTAATTATCAGTGGACTTCACCACTACTCTCAAGTTCCTGGTCCTTATCAAAATCAAGCAAGTAATATTTATACAGAGCTAAGAAAAAATGTTGTTCAGAACATTTTCAAACAGTACAATAAAAGAGGTTATATATTTGAACAATATGATGACATTACTGGAATTGGCAAGGGGAGCTACCCTTTTACTGGATGGTCTGCTCTTGTTGTGAACATAATGGCAGAAAAATACTAAGCTTTCAAAGAACATCAAGGTCAAAAATAGTTATATCATAAATATAACGCAAATGAAAACTTATTTGAAACTGCTCTTTTCAATGAAAATGCAAGAAACCATTTAAAATGTGACGATTTTTTTTGTATTTTTTTTGCTTTTTTACTTTTTGTGTGTAATTTAGATTTTTTTTAATTCTATAAACAATCAGAAAATTCAATAACGTCAATTTTCAGGATACCATTTTCATTTCTAAAATCGTTTTTTCAATTTTTAAATATGATAAAAACGATGTGTGGATAATGAAACATTATTTTTAAAAATATGTCAAAGTGTGTAATTGTAAACAAATGCACCTGAAATGTATATTTACTTTATATCAATGTCTGATTTAAAAAAAAAATTAGGTCAGGTTCGTTGATTCATTGTTAATCTTATTATAGTTAGGAAGCGTTATTTTACTTCTTCTTTATATGCTTTTATTCTGACATGGTATTCATCAGACGTTTATTTTTTTTTATACATGTCCAACTATTAACTCGCTTTTTCCTGATTATAATTTGTCACCAAGCGTCCATACAACATTATAAATTTTTCAGTTGATGAATCTTAGGTAAAGGTATTTTGCAGTAAAAATGAAGATCTATGGGGGCTCACCACTTACCTACCTTTTTCAGTTCATGTCACCTGTCTTAAGCATAGGTCATTGTATCTCATTTTATGGGTAAACCTGCTAGTAATAAAATCATGTTCGGCACATATCTTGCAGCATGCAAGTTCAAGGAATATTATACTAGGTAAATTGATGATTGTATAATGGAAATAAGAGTATAATCTTCACTCATTATTTGACAGACTACACCTCAAATAATACAACACTTAAGCTGTAAGCCAGACAAACTTTGTGGGAGCAGCTGGCATTTATTTTATATCAATCCATAACAAACAGGCATACATTATTGTGTATGTGAATAATGAAGTACTGCAATGTTTTGGTTAACTATGCGTTGCATGCTATGCATTATACCCCTATCAAAGACATTAAAAACCGCCCAGGAAAAAACCATAGACGAGTAACTATGGAAAACCTGTGTCCGTCGCTATGTAAATAATGCCTCAAGGGAGAATGCCGGACGTGCATTCGGAGCAGTACTTGGTATGCATAAACACCGTTTATGTACATGTACAATAAAGCAAAATCAAAATATATGACAATATTACATATATATATAATATATTACATATATCAACGTATTAATTTGAATATACATATAAACAAAAACACGTGTGTGTTCTGCGGAGCACTGGCTTAGAATGATCCAACACCTCACAAAATACCACCTTCTCATTGGCCTTCCTTTGGCCACGCCTACCATAAACAGGCATTTCCAATAAAATACGTTCCTATCATACAATGTTTTCCCGCTATTCTACGAAACGCGGGAAAACTTTATTATTAAGACTATGTCTACATATTTTTCTCTACAACCACATGATTTGAACATTGTTTTTTTTTTTTACCTGATTCATCTTTAGGAGAATGTGAGGTGTATCGTACCTGTTCATTTGCTTCTCCAAAGTTGTGTTAAAATGTACATATATAATTGATAATAAAAATAGAATTGATAAAGACTGATACAATTAAAATGTGCGAATAAGAAGATGGAGATCACTTGAAAATGTAATTATTCTCAAATAAAGCACAAAATATTATTTATGGTACATTTACTGTAAAAATTTTTAGCTTGTAAATTAGCGTTTTAACTAAATAAAGTTTAAACACTGAGATAAAGGAGTTGTTTTTTGCGTCAATCCATCAGAAGAAAACAGACCAGTAGTCCTCAGCAGAAAAATAAGAAACAAGAGGCCCGTGGATTACAGCACACATCAAAACGCACTGGCTAGGAAGAAGCAGAGACCAGCTCAGTATTGAAAAGTTTTAATTCACATCCCTTCTGGATGATTTCTACATATTGTTATGCAAAGCGGTGAACCTTTGTTCTGCCGTAGCTTCATACTTAGCCATCTGAGCAATTGAATTGATTCTGCAATACCTAATCTTGCCTCTGTATAAATATTACTAGTTATGGCTTGTAAAGATTGTAAAGATATTTCTTAGGTATGATCAGGTTATTACAAGAAATATGCTTGTATAGGTTTTTCTTTGACCTCAAGCTCAAGTGAGCTTTTCTGATCACATTTTGTCCGTAGTCCATCCGTCCGTCTGTAAACTTTTCACATTTTCAACTTCTACTCAAGAACCACTGGGCCAATTTTAACCAAACTTGGTACAAAGCATCCTTGGGGAGTGGGGGGTTTAAATTGTTAAAATAAAGGGCCAGGTTCCCTTCCAAGGGGAGATAATCAAGAAAAGAGAAAAATAGTGTGGGGTCATTAAAAAATCTTCTTCTCAAGAACCACTGGGCCAGGAAAGCTGAAACTTATGTGGAAGCATCCTGGGGTAGAAAAGATTCTAAATTATTAATCAAGATTGGGGGAGGGGGTGGTAAGGGGCCACAATAGAAATAAGAAGAAATCTGGTAAAGAACTGCAACACAAAAGTTACTCAGGTGAGGGATGTGGCCCATGGGCCTCTTGTTTATGTTTCATGTGATGTTTGATTTAAAAACGTTACCAAAAAATAACTTGCTGAGTATCATGTTATATGTAAGGTATAATTTAATCAAAAATCAATTTAAAAGTTATCAAAGAAGGACAGACGGGGTGTATTGTAGGATTTAATCTTTCTTTTTATATATTTTTCATGTAAATTATCGTTTTGGATTAATTCCTTTGTGAATCTTATGCATTCTTGCTCTGTATATTTCAGCAGACCCAATGTCCCATTAACAATATATCATTAACGAGTCAAAACATGATGTTTTTTCTATACCAAATCTTCTGAGAGTGCATGGATTAAAATGTATCAAAACCATCTAGTTTATAAAATTGTTCTTTTTGGCCATTCAAAAAAAAAAAAAATTAATAAATAACATGGCCAAAAGACCCAAAGTGAATATCGTTTTTCTCATGGAAGATATTATCTAAATTTTAACAATTTATAAAACAAAATAATACAACAAAAGTATACATATTGTTCAAGGTAACAAAGTCATTCATATCCTTACGACTATGGAAAAGCAGGAACTGAGGGAGACTTTCAAAACTTTTCAGACACAGAAGCATTCGCTTAGTATTTATCATTTTCGGTGGGAGACGAATTCCAAAAATTTAAGTTTACAGTTAGTGGGTACAGTGGAACTGCAGGTAATAACAGTCTTGATTTCTATCATGATCATAAAATTAAACTGTACATATTCCGTTGTTCAAATTACTACACATCTTTCCTATTGATGAATGATTCTATTCACAAAGAAAATCCAAAACAGAAGGAAGTATTTTTTAAATTAGAAATATGAAAAACGTATATTGTAAACCAATAGGGTTTAGAACGGATTTATTTGTCAATGAACATTTTAATTTTTGAGTAAATTAAAATTATATACCACTTGTACTATATAATTTTCTAATTCAAACAAGAAATTTATTTCAATGAAATGAATTATAGTTTCAACAAGCAAGTTGATGAAACAAGAATATCAACAGTCTCGTTTAAAGTCATCGTTTCGTAAGTTCTTTGGTCGAATGACCTTGTCAGCAAATACAATTTATCATTGAGTTATATATGCTGACTGACGTTTTTCATACTAAATTATAGTCCATTAATTATACACTGAATTGACGACGGATTTTTCCGTTATTTCCCGATTATGAAAAGGAGGACACGGCGGGTGTGACCGGTCAGCAGGGGATGCTTACTCCTCCATGGCACCTGATCCCACTTCTGATGTTTTAGAGGTCCGTATTTGCTCTGCTCCTATTTTGTATCGTTTTATGGACTTTGATATTGAATACTGTTCGTTATCTCCATATCCTTCATCACACTCTGGTTCGTGGAGACCAGTTTTTCGGATGAGACCGTATAAACCGATGTCCCGTATAGCAGTAGGTGCTAAGGCGAAAAAAAATTCCTTCACTGCACAATAGTCCTGAGTGACCAGTATAGACCAAAATTTGTAGTCCTCCACCGCAAGAAAAATTCTCAAGAGGGACGTTAAACAAGAAACAAACAAACAGATTAAGGATTGTGTTTACTTTGTGAAAGTGCAAGAATGTGTCAATCAAATGCATCCCGATAATGTGTTATTTAGGGCATGAGTTTCTTAAGATATTTTGTATTTTAGAAATTTTAATTTTTCGTTATGCAATGTATACGCCGTTAAATTTTATAACATTTCCGGAACAAAACAAATGTTCATCAAAGAAATCTCATTCATTTTGATTTTTTTTTAAAAGAATAGTTTTCTGTAAATATATGTAGGTAATTCAAAGGAGGATAGTCAGATCATTTTAAAATCTTGGAAGTAGTACGAAAAAAGATTTAGAAAAATCGAAGGAGAATATAGGTTAGGTAAATTATGATAAAATGCACGACGATCAAGATGATAGTAACATGGATAAGGAGAATAAAGTATAGCGACTTGAATCTACGAATGCAAGTTCAACATTGCTAAAGAGTGGCCATCATATCTAATGATTAGTTCTCCATTTGAGATTATTTCCCCCTCCATTATCATTATTTTCCGAATTCAACTTAAATTTGCAGATAAAAGGTGTATATTTATTACAGGTCTGTTTGTTTTTTGGTTGACTTCAAGTATACACTTCGCACAACTCAAAAAAATTAAATGCAGACATGTGTTAGATTGTATGAAAAAGGATTTTCAACGCCAGAGTGTGATGAGCACTAAAAATGGTTTGGCCCTATTTTTAAACTTTAAGTTACCATGATTAAAATAAACCAATTGTTATATGCAGAAGTCGTAATATTTTTGACAAGTCTTAATAAGAAAATTAAGAAGAAAATTCTTAAACTTTCAATTTGTTGAATTTATTCATGTTATTTATAATGTTTATTTATTAGTTTACTCTGTCTTTAATATTCTCTTTCTGTATAGAAT